TTAAAAAAAAATACCCATATACGCTTTTCTTTTAGCTCTAATAAGTAGTTTTAAAACAACCCTCACCGGGTAACCTCTGATGGTAGACTTTGGGCCCTTTTATCCCTTTTTGAACCAGATTATCTTGGAGCATGTTTATTATATATAGGGCTATTATATATCCCCCCCCCGAAAAAAAAAGGAGGGGAATTCTACAAAAAGCATAAAAAAAAATTAATGAAGACTCAAGCAGCTTTTTTTTTTTTTTTTTTTTTTTTTAAGTAAAAGCTAGACAGTAAATATTTTAGGCTTCAACAGAGGACTAAAACTACTCAAGGACAATGCATATGAGCTGGGCTAAGTTCTGATAAAATAAACATCCCACCAGATTAGGTTGTGAGCCATAATTTGCAAACAACTGGTTGAGAATATCAAAGACTTAGCAAGAGACCTACCTTAGTATATTCAGTGATTGCTTCAATCAAYGCATATGTGGTTTGAGAGAGAAAGGTGGAGGTGCTATCTGTTACCAAAGACACAGCCCTCCTCATTAATGCTTCATTACTAAGAGAATGAGGCTCTGATTTCTGAAAGACACAAACATTATCATTTGACTTCCAACCTATATAAAATAAAGCTCATGCTGAGAACTTCATCAAGGACAGCCAAGAAAAAACAATTCTCATGGTTGCTTATACACTGCAACTGTGCTATACTTATTTGGGCTAATTTTTATTTTAGGCTTTATGATGGCTATTTTAGGCAATACAGAGAAAAAAAAGAGTGTGCCTTCTATTTTTTCCCCCCATTTTTCATTCCAGAGAGCAAAGTACTTGTGTGTGTGTGTGTGTGTGTGTGTGAGAGAGAGAGAGAGAGAGAGAGAGAGAGAGAGAGAGAGAGAGAGAGAGAGAAGGGGGGGTAGAGTATCTAAGGGGGGGAGGGGGACAGAGAGAGAGAGAGAAGGGGGGGCGGAGTATCTAACCCAGGGGTACTCTACCACTAAGCAACATCTCCACCCGTTTTTMATTTTTTTACTTTGAGACAGGGTCTCGCTAAATTGCTGACGATGTTTTCAAACTTGAGATCCTCCTGCCTCAGCCTCCTGAGCTGCTGGAATTACAGGCATGTGCTATCATGTGCAGCTGCAGCCCAAGAAATAATTTTTGATACATGAACAAATGAACAAACATTCTTATAGATAAAATAACAATTTTATCTACTTCTTTCAATCAAGTAATTACCATGTACATGTATTGGGAAGCTACAAAGGGAAGAATGACATATTGGCTCACAAGAAGCTAATTTCTTTTTAAAAAAATTTTTTTTGTAGTTATAGATAGAATGCCTTTATTTTTTTATTTTTACATGTGCTAAGGATTGAATCCAGTGTCTCATACATGCTAGGAAAGTGCTCTGCCACTAAGCCCCAGCTCCAAGAAGCTAATTTTGACATAATATACCGATTAACTTAAGCCTACAGAATATGCTGGTTTTTTTTTTCTTTTCGGTACTGGGGATTAAACCTCGGGGTGCTTTATCACTGAGCGACATCCTCAATCCATTTTTTAAAATTTTCTTTAATTTTTTTAGTTGTGGACAAAATACTTTCGTTTTATTTATTTATATGTAGTGCTGAGGATCGAACTCAGTGCTTCACACGTGCTAGGCAAGTGCTCTACCACTGAGCTACAACCCCAGTCCTTTTTATTTTGAGACAAGGTCTTGATAAGTTGTTTAGGGCCTCGTTAAAATTCCTAGGCTGGCCTTAAACTTGGGATCCTCTGGAGTCACTGGTATTATAGGCATGTGCCACTGCACACAGCCACAGTGTGCTAATTTTACAATGTGTTTTTGCTTGTTCCTCACAACACTGCAGGTATGACTTCTTTTTTACAAATGATTAAATGGAAGCTCACAGAACTTAAGTAACATTTTCAAAGTCACACATGTAGCCCTCRGTCCCTTTCCCTTATGGTCTSCAGACAAAGTAGAATGTCATGAAGACTATCATCAGATATCAAAATATACATGTTAAGTGGCCAGAAAGAGGGATGGTTTTTGGCCAGAAACTACGACAGGTTTTATAGATAGGACTTGATATTGCAGACAGCTAGGATTAGAATGGTCAAGCATCATAGGAAGAAAAAATGAGGAAAAAAAATACATTTGTTACACATGGAAGGGATTGTCCAGTATCTAGGGCTGGCTGGCATAAGAGAAAAGAGACTGGTCCCAGCGCAGTGGTGTATGCCTGAAATCCCAGCAGCTCAGGAGGCTGAGGCAGGAAGAGCAACAKTTCAAAGCCAGTCTCAGCAACTTAAGGAGGCCCTAAGAAACTCAATAAAATATAAAAAAGGGAGAGGGGATGTGCCTCAG